GCACCACCATGCCTGATGGTAAATATTAATGAACAAGTATGGTATGCTTTTGTACTTCTAATTATCAATTATCAATGACAAAATATAGCTAAAGAATAAATATGGAGAGTTTTAAGTGAAAAGGAAATTAACTTTATGACTAGGAATACAAATATCTCTACAAATATATTTCATAATATAGTATTTTCTTTCACATTTATGTCAGTTTGCCTATGACAAGTTTTGCCGTAATGATAAATTGAAATGCTTCTTTTTCAGTGGAGAATTTCAAGTTGAAAGAAAATTTTGCTCCTTCTAAAGGATTCACACAAGAAAATAAAAAAAAGAAAAGAAAAGAAAAGAAAAGAAAATGAAAGAAAAGAAAAGGAAAGAAAAGGAAAAAAATCCAGCTGTTGTATGTATTTTGACACCTATTAAGTTTAGGCTCTTCTTTTTCCTTTCCTTTCCTCCTTTCCTTTCTTTTCCTTTCCTTTCCTTTCCTTTCCTTTCCTTTCCTTTCCTTTCCTTCTTTCCTTTCCTTTCCTTTCTCTTTCTTTCTTATTTCCTGCAAATCTAGAGCATCTGTGATCCTGATGGAGCTTGGCTCTGGCACCTACGTACCTTAGTGACTTCCTTATGCTTCCTTCTTTCCCAGGAGAACTATCTCCCAGAAGGAAAGAGAAAGCTCAATGCTGTAATTATTTGAAAAAGTTACACTGTTATGGCAAAACCAAAGCCAGGATGGATAACTGGTGCTGATATTCTAGTAGATTATCAGAGATTCCAGATGGCTCAAGGCCTCTTACATATCCAAGACAATCTCCTTCACTTCTTTAAAAGCACTTAATATCCAAGAACGAAGGACAGAATATCCTGTGGATTGATTCCTCAGGTTCATTTTGCAAAACTATTGACTGGATCTGTTTCAGTCTTAGCAAAGCATCATTTAGAAAATTCACCTTGTGTCTCTTCTACAAAGGACCATAGCATTTTCCAAGAAGTCGACTACTTAAGAACAGTTGTTAATTAGAGAAATAAGGAGAATTAGTCTGATTTATCTATGGGAAGAACTAAAACTTGTATAATAATCATGCATTTGGAATTTCTTTGCAGGGGGGGGTGATTAATTTTATCCTGACATAATGATTATTTAGTACTTGTAGCACAGTCATTAATTAACTTTATGTTTACCCTTTCTAGAATTAAAACAATTACAAGAGGAAAACATTGGGATTCTGCTGCTTCATTTTCAGAATCTGACAAATTACCAGACCATGTAAGGTAAGAGTACATCTTGAAACATGAAAGTTTTGGGGTGCCTGGGTGGCTCAGTCGGTTAAGCGGCCGACTTCGGCTCAAGTCATGATCTCATGGTTCGTGAGTTCGAGCCCTGCATTGGGCTCTGTGCTAACAGCTCAGAGCCTGGAGCCTGTTTCAGATTCTGTGTCTCCCTCTCTCTGACCCTCCCCTGTTCATGCTCTGTCTCTCCCTATCTCAAAAAAAAATAAAACGTTAAAAAAAAAAAGAAATATGAGAATTTTGACAAATAATAAGTCTCAAACTGACTATTTCTTTATTGGCTACTCCAGGAAAGACTCCCTTTTCTATGTATAAATGTCTTCAGGTATACTTATTAACATTAGAATAAGATTTATAGGAATAAATATGGATAATTAAAATGATGTACAATCTTACCCCTTACAAGATGAGAGGAAATAAATAAAATATATGATTAAAAATATTTCATAACTTCTTCAGGCTCTATTCCCACTGTTTAAGTATCTTATGTCTCTTCAGAACCTAAGTATTATATATTTAAAATTTTGCTCTTTTATAATACAATTATTTAAATATTTAAGTTTTGATGGAGGTGGTGAATAACGAAAATATAACAGGGAGACACCATAACACTTTTGTTTAGTGATCTCTTTCTGGGGCAAATATTACACTTCTCTCAGATTTCTTTATTCTTTTTAATATTTTAACAGTTTCTCTGATTTCTTCCCTCAACATAGAATCGTTTATCCAAAAAGCCCATACACATATTATTTATTTTCAATCTAATTAGTGCCTAATATTTGGTATGCATTGTTGGATTGAACACAGAAAGATATGATAATTGATAATAGTTAATATTTGTCTAGTGCTTAGTTTGTCATAAATGATACTTATTTATGTGCATTATCTTTTTTTTAAGTTTATTTATTTATTTTGGGCACCTGGGTAACTCAGTTAGTTAAGCGACTGACATTTGATCTCAGCTGAGGTCATGATCTCATGGTTTGTGAATCTGAGCCCCCTTCAGGCTCTATGCTGACAGCATGAAGTCTGCTTGGGATTTTCTCTTTCTCCCTCTCTCTTTATGCCTCTCCTCCCTTGCTCTCTTTCTCTCTATAAAATATAAGTAAACATTTAAAATGAGGTTTATTTATTTATTTTGAGAGTGAGGGAGAGAGAGAACCCCAAGCATGCTGCATGCTGTCAGCGCAGAGACTGAAGCAGAGCTCGAACTCA